GTTCCTAGAATTAGCGCCGACGAGTCGACTTTCTCAATTCTACATGATACCGAATCTACTTGAGTATTTACACACTCAATGGGGAGTGTTATAAACTTTGTATTTAAGTATGATTGTGTAAATCTTAGATTATATTTTATTCTAGTTATTGTTCCCTATTAGGACTTGTATTCCTTGGATAAGAAGGATTATTCCATCCCTTATTACTATAAATAAAGGCACTGCGTAGGAGGAATAACACATCCTCTACACAACCCTACAAACACATCTCTCTCTCTACTCTCTCTCTACTGTGCCCCCTCAATCTCCTTGTCAGATTAAAATAAGCCACAATATTATCATTTGCATTGTGGAAATATGTTGCAACCCCAACACGATGAAATGATGAAGCTCTAATTGCTGACAAAAGCCATGATTGATTTGATTAATTTGATTTAATGGTAGAGTCAAGAGATGATGGGGATTCATTTGATTAATTTGGTGAAAAAAAAAATGTCGGAGAAGATTGGATTTCTAGCCATCGTTGAGAAGGTGGTCCAGTTGAGAAGAGGACATTGGAGCTTGTCATCACGTGTCATTATTTAAATGGAGTGACACTTGAAAATTTTAACTTTTTTCTATTTATATTAGGGGGTGAATTGCCAATTTAGACTCTGAATTATCACTGAGTGAAAATTAGTTCTCTAAACTATTTTTTTTCAAAAAAATCAATCCTTGAATTATAAAAATCTGCCAATTACATCCCTAGTATTAGATTCGAAGCAACTATATTCAATTTTTTGTCAATTTAGATCACGTTACTTGCATGTGATACACATTGGAAGGTAGATTAGTAATTTTCTATAAAAAAAATAGTGGATGGAGTTAACTTTGGACGGTAAATTAGACGTTAGATTCACAACCGATATGAAATTTTAAGGGCTTATGGGCAAGAAGATGATGATATTACACTATAAAGTATGTCAAGTAATTTAAGTTGACGAAAAATTGAATAAAATAACTTTGAATATAATGGTGGAGATGAAATTAGCATTTTTTAAAGAATTTAGGGACTTATTTCATCAAAACAATAATTCAGGGACCTAATTTTCATTGAGGTGATAGTTCAGGGATTAAATCAACATTTCACCCTTTATATTATAGCATTTGATGCACCACCCGTATTCTTGGCAAAATTAACAATTTCTAGAGTTATTCTGGATTTGGGTGTTTCTTTGGCCCGATTTTAACATAATTTTTATCACGTTCGGTCATTCAATCTGACAGTTCTTATTTAGATATATAAATATGGTAATGCTAGGAGACTAATTTTGTAGACAAAATTTTGTAAACTAAATGACATAAAAGTTGATGATTAAATTAATACTTAAGCATTGATAAATGTGTTTATTCCGATTAATGATACATTATTTAATTTACAAATTTTCCTCAAATTTAATTTCTCTAACATTATCTATATAAATATCTAAATAACATTGTATTTAAGGGAAAATGATCCTCACCGAATTGTGACAACCTGTCCCTACTTTTACGATTTTATTAATTTTTAAAAGAGTGAAGTGACAAAAATGCCCTAGAGGCGAGAGTGTTGACTTTCGTTAACCAGCATTTTGGGAGATGTATAAAACATTCTTTTAGCATATCCTTGTAGTGCTCGTCACTACAAATGTGTGGATACAAACGGAACCGAATTTGGAGCTACAATAGAGATTTTACAGACTTACGAAGTCTGAGGGTATTTTGATAAATTCCTTATTCTAGATAAACTACTCCTTTTATTATTTTAATATTTTGTAGTGTGAGACATGTGGGGCCACGCCCCATTTCCTTCAACTATCTCGTGTCTCCCTTCTTATTGGGTCACTTCCCATTTGTCAATCACACACCTCATTTCAAACTCTATCTCTACTCTTTAACTCTCTGTTCTGAAAACCCAACAAGCTTTACCTCAGAGCAGTTCCATCGGGGAACTGATAGGCCGACACCTAGGCTTTGCACTCCAACCCAGCAGATAGGCTGCCACCCAACCCAAGTCAGGCAAGAGATCGGCCCAGAATCGACAGACCTATGAGACGGCCTACATGACGCAGGCTGACATCAGTCACTTTTTTTTTTTTTTTTTTTTTTTTTTTTGCGCCAAAGAGGGTTGTTGTGGAGGCTAAGGAATGGAGCTGGTCGAGGCGAGAGAGGGTGTCGAGAGGGAAGGAGCCACAGAAGGAGAAGGCAAATCACCTAAAAGTGATCGCCCGAGTTCGTCGGAAAATCTGAAAAAAAAATGCACCGACAACATGTTTGCATGAATGCAAAGGTTTCCAACACGATTTATAAGTTAGAAACCATAAGAATAGGATTGAGAACTTACCCAGGTGAAATGCAAGAGATTTCTCCGAGAATTGGACCTTGAACTTGTCGAAGTTTGTCCATTTTCCTTTGTTGGAATCACATGCAGGGAATTAAGCCCTCAAATTAACCATAAAAATTGCAACACAACAGGATTTAAAGCTCAAGAACACAATACAATGATAAAACATCACCTGTATTAAACATTGAGAGCTCAAGCTCTCAGCTTCAATGGTAGGACCTCACACCATGCACCGATGCCGCATGCAAGACCGTGGTTGGGTTCCTTAAGCTCCAGGGATTACAAAAATAATATTTTTTTTTTGATTTGTTGAAGGTTTTGAAGAAGAAGGAGAAGGAGAGCTCACGGGAGTGAGCTGGACAAGAGAAAGAAAGGGAGAGAAAATAGATAGAGAGAGAGGGAAAGAGAGAGAAAGAGAGAGAGAAAGAGAGAGAAAAAGAGAGAAAGAGAGAGAGAGAAAGAGAGATAGAGAAAGAAAGAAAGAAAAGAGAGAGAACCAGTCAAATGAAGGGGAAAAGGTCATTATTTTAAAGGTTCAATTGGAGATGCATTTTATTTAATCATATTTTAATAAAATGGACTAGGCTATTTTTTGTTAAGGGTGGAGATGCATTTGGCCTATTACTGTTCATTGGGGTCAATTACTGTTCATTAAGTGGATTAAATAGGCTGGGTGCTGGCTTATTTTTTAGGGGCAGACTTGCTCTCACTTTCTCCTTCAATTTCGTTCACTGCACAAAAGGTGCAACAGCATCAATCCATCATCACCATCACACTCTAGTGAGCTCTACAGGAAACCCCTATCTCCCCAAGCTCATTATCTTGTCAACTCTTAGACTCCTCACCTTTCATTTTCAAAATTCACACACTCTCCCTCTTGGTGAATCACCACCGAGACACCACCATCACACAAACCTTTCGCCGGACCGATGAACTCCAAATCGTCACACCATCAGATTTCTACCGTCTCATCTCTACGAACCCAACCCCAAAGCTTGGGTCACTGGAATCGAGCCATAGAGCTCTATCAGAGCTTTGTTTTGTATATGGATTCTCGGTGAACTTCCATGAATTCCGACCAAGGTAAACGTTAGGGTTTCTCTTCCTCTTACATTTCTCGATGTCAATGCACGATCTCAAGGTTAAATGCATTTTTGTTAGGGTTAAAAGCAGCTGGGACGAATGGAGGACATTTCCAAAAATCTGGAAAATTAGGTTCCGTGATCATCTAGCCACTTTCAAACCATTTCCCGGACCAACACAGACCACGACTGAGCTTTTAATAGGTATAGGCTTATTCTTTACATTTCTAACTTCCAAATGGCTTTTGAATCATTGATTTTGGCGGAGAATCGAGCTCGATAGGAGCTTGGGAAGTTGAACCTTCAACCTGCAAGATGTAGGTCCTCGTGAAAAAGGCGAGTACGTTTGTACTCGCAGGCACGTGAGGCAGTCAACATGGGTAGCGCATGCAACGCGTGGCTACCAGTGCAGCCACCTTGCGGCGACGCGTGGAGGAACCTGAGGTCCTTCCTTTGGTTTCTCAATGTGCTGAATCCAAATCCGCCCTCTGTTTTCCGAAATTCGACCGTTTTAAAATAGTTCCTTTATTAGCTGTATTTTGTACGAAAAAGCGTTTAAATGTTAGTACGTTATATATTTAGGTAAATGGTTTCGTTTCTAGGTGAAACGCTTCGCAAGGACTCTCAACGCTATGAGGTGGGTTTGACTCGACGACATGATCTGTGAGTGGGTCTTTTCTTTTATATAGTATATACATATTTGTTAGTTTCCATTTATACATTGAAAGAGAATCTACTACGTATGCCTAGCTTAGACTAATGCTTATAAGATTTAGCGAAATAACGGAAAATTATGAAGTGATCATAAATCCTACATGATGCACATGTATGCGTATGTTTATTGGTGCCATGATTATACCTACAGCTATGAATGCTATTATGTTGATTAGAACTATCGAACCACTATGGCATGACTATATTTATGTTTTATGCTCGCCTAGGGCCAGGGCTAGTATTTCACTTGTATGTTCACATCTGAATCGTATGCTTGCCTTGGATCCAAGTAAGTGCCAGTCTTGTCGTACAGGTTGCAATAGGCAACTCCGACTCGTATGTGACCTCGAACAGTGCAAGTTTTCACGTGATTGTAGCACTAGAGTGTATATTATGATTACACTCAATCTTGTCATACAGGTTGCATTAGGAAAAATTCCTACGAAGTTTACTTTCGTCGAGATCCAGAAATGTCTTTAAGTAACATCATGGTGCTAAAGTGGTAACACTTGACGGAAGTCGAGCACGAAAAATGTGTTAGCTTTTTCTAACTTTTGAGTGACTTAGTCAACTTATCGACCTTTTAGAGGAACGTTTTGGTGGCCACCTCTAAATTTTAAACGAAGAATCTCCATGCCAAGGAAAAATCCCAAATTGAGACAAGTTGAAGGCTCGAAGCAGGGCTAATGTATCAATAGTTTTGTATCATCAGAGATTTACCACTCAATTTCATCATTATTCTTATGCCATCATTACCAACCCATTTGAATTAGGAAACCAGAAATAGTTTTGATTTCTTGGCAATACCCATTAGAATACCACCTACTAAAATTCCTACTAAGTTTACTTTCGTCGAGATCCAGAAATGTCTTTTAAGTAACATCATGGTGCTAAAGTGGTAACACTTTGACGGAAGTACATATAGGGACAATCACTTTTCTTGAGGATTACAGCAAACCATGAATGAACAGGCTAGCACAACAACCTATCAAAGCCTTAGCGCGTCTATGTCTCTACCCAGAAGCCCTAAAAGCCTCCGCATCAACCTCCCCTCTCAGCCCCAACCTCACAGACCAAACCTACGCCCTTTTTCTCAAGTCCGGCCACCGCCTGGACCCCTTCCTCGCCTCCGCTCTCATTTCGAAATTTTCCAAGTCGGGTTACTTCTCCCACGCCCTCCGGTTCCTAAACGACGCTCCAGAACCATATACAGTCTCCTACAACGCCCTCATTGCTAGATTGGCCCAGTTTGGACCACCCGGGCCGATTTTTGGGCTATTCGATTGGTTGAGATATGTGGGCTTAAGGCCAGATGGGTTTACAGTGAGTGCTCTGGTGAAAGCGTGTGATGGGTTGGAGGAGAATGAGATTGCCCATGGGGTTTGTTTGAGATTGGGGTTTGGTTATGGGGGTTTTGTGGTTAGTGGGTTGGTGGAGAATTATATGACGATTGGGGATATTGGGTCGGCAGCAGAGAATTGCTTTGGGGAGTGTTTGGTTGCGGACAATGTGGCTTGGACTGCTATGATTTCTGGGTATGTTTGGAGCGGCAAGTTGGAGAAGAGTAAGGAGGTGTTTGGGGAGATGAGGAGGTTGGGGAGATGACGGAAGTACATATAGCATATAGCATATAACATATAGCTTGACTGCCGTGCTGGGTGGATTGTGTGATGAGAAGGAAGGGGAACAGATTCATGGAGTTGCTGTAAATATGGGATTTTTATGCGGGTTTTCGGTTCATTTGAGTAATGCAATTATGAATATGTACTCTAGGTGTGGGAGTGGCCGGAGTGCGGTTAAGGTGTTTGATGAAATGACTGAACCAGATGCTGTTTCTTGGACTGAGAGGATATGAGCTGCTTATGATGATGTGGAAGCTTGGGAATTGTTTAGAGTTTTACACTCTCGGGGTTTGGAGGTGAATGATTATACGATTATTAATGTTTTGTTGGCTATTGGATGGCCGGTGTCGGTGACAGCAAAATTGGAAAATGATGGTCATAGTTTAGTGATCTTTGACATATGACCACATCATTGTACATATTGAACCATTCACATTGTTTACTTGGCTACCGTCTAGGAACAGAAGTGGCATCCTTGCCATTGATTGAAGAGCTAGTCATCCGATGAGGTTCGTGTTCTATTTATGAAGTCCAGTCACATATGCTCTTGCATCAGTATTATACCATATAGCATTTGGAAGTTCTACTATAATATGACATTGGTCATCAACTTTTTATTTTGGTTTATGGACTGTTTAGATAATTATTTACCTGCTTTACAAGGTTATCTTCCATGGTCCAGTAGCTATGAGCATAACCGACAATATAACTGATAATATCGTTTTGTTCTGCTAAGTGCTAACATTGTGAGTTATGTTTAAAGCTATGACAGAAAGAATGTATGTTGGTTTATATTGAATCATCTGCCCACTCATGAAATCGAAAATTTCCTTGTTATTTTTATTTTTGACATTCTGGGGTTTTTTCCTTTTCCCAGTCAACTGCTATGTGTGACTAGAAACTGTCAATTGAGTTTGAAGGGAAAAAGAAAAACCACTTGATAGAAGAAGAGCTAAATATATTAAGAAGATAGCGGTCATACATTTTATAATAAAATTAATCTATAAACTTCTACTCCTCTAGCTCTCACTACAAGTGGGTTTTCCTGCAGTGACGTTTGCGATCTGAAGAGGTTTTGGAGAGGACAGAGACTATTGAATGAATGGCATTTGCAGCTATTCTTGATTTTTATCTGTCCCCGCTTTGGCAGAGGCTTCCTGCTTCTGAAGTTGTTGCAAGTTTCAGCGGTAGAAGCAACAGAGATCTTGCTGATCATTTTGTAAGCTGAGGAAATATCCGTTCTTTTCTTACGCGGTTTTCTTGTTTGATGGGTGTGGATATAGTGGGATTGGTTGGGAGTTTATGTAGCTCAACCAACCCATTAAGCCTAGGACAGGGGAGGATTGATCCGGGAAGATTAGAGAAAGCTGGAAACAAGCTTTTTCAGAGACTGGTGCTTGTTAGGGGCATGGCAGCTAGAATGTCCTGCTGTACAAGATTCCTTTCAGCTTAACTTGAGACATTTGAATATTTGTGATGATTTGGTGACTGATAAATCTGTTAATCCATAGTTTAATGCTAATGAGTAATGATTGGTTTGAGTTTGTCCTAACACGAATATGTGCGGGTTATCTACAAGTTATTTTTGGCCTTAATGAATTTAATCAAATGGGAATCAAAGTAGCATCTGGAAATCATTTCTCTAATTATAAGGTCGAGTAAAATTGGAATGCCTTGAGATGATGACAGATTTCTGTATCTTTTGGAGGATGCTAATTACATTGACAAGGTTGTGATCAATGGATCATACATTTTAGTTTATCATCAAACTTTAGTTTCTAGAGCTCTAACTCTTAAACTAAAAATGGGCTTTCCTGCAACGGTGTTTGCGATCTGAAAAGGCTTTGGAAGAGGCCTTCTGCTTTGGAGATTTCAGTGGCGGGAACGTCAAAGACCTTGCTATTCATTTCGTAAGCTGATGAAATTTTGATGCTTCTCTCCACAACGAGTTTAATTGTTTGGTGGATGTGGATATTGTCGCATTGCGGGGGTGTTTATATAGCAATGCCGAGCTTAGTATATTATCCCAACGATGGCAAACCAAATTCCATCGTTTTGAAGTAAGAAAATCTGTGTCGGAAGTTATTCATTATTTGCGTTGCAAAATATGTACGCCGCACAAATCAATTGATCGTGTGTTGTCGAGAAAATATCACAGAGAAGAAACATGGATATGCAACTCGCAAGCTGCATCGGTTGCCTTGTCCTACCAGTTTCCTACATACATGTTTCCGATTCCGATAACGTAGAAAATGGGGAAGACTGTCCATTTGTAACACATCTCATTATTTTCCATGATGTGGTGATACTTGGATTTCATAGCAAGGCACAACCAAATGGAACTATAAGCAATTGGATTCCTTAACTAAAGCAATGGTGCAAATGTGCCTTTATTCTTTCCTCTACTCTGTCACACTAGTCCCTTGTGTCAAATTCTCTACCCCTACATGCTACATCATTCTTTCTCCAACTTTTCACTATCTTGTTCCAATTTCTTCACAACACAATGGCTACCGTTGTCAATTTCTCCGGCAAAACCACGAGTCGGAGAATTTGCCTCAAACCAATGGCAGGACCAGGACCAGGACCAGCCATTGGTTCCTTGGCTATCAAAAGAGCATGCCAATTGCCCCTCAGCAGAACAAATACTCTGCAACATTGCATCTATATGACAAGGAAGGCACAAGATAGACTATTGAATGAGCACAGGGTGTCTCCTGCATTAGCAGCAACGAGAAACTCAGACATTTTTCCGGGATCTCCTTCTCCTTCTCCTTCTCCATCGGACACAATCAAGCAATTCTACAGATGCATGAATGAGAAAAACTTAAAGCAACTACGTGATCACATCTCAGAAGACTGCTACATTGAAGAGTGCTCTTTCCACACACCATTACACGGCAAAAAGGTCAATACTCTTTGTTCTTCCTCATGACAATAAAGCAATAGTTTTCCCTTTCTACTGACAAAACCTAAACTTCATTTATGCAGGAGGTTATGAGCTTTTTTGAGCAGCTAACTGCAGGCATGGGCCAAAATGTTGAGTTCATTTTACGACACGTATGCGAAGGAGATGAACTAACAGCAGCAGCAAACTGGCATATGGGTACATCCATAAACGATTATCGCTTCCGCATAAAGACCTAAATATAAATCTAGTTCTACGAAATAACTTATGTTTGGCCTTGCAGAATGGAAAAACAAACAGATCCCCTTCACCAGAGGCTGTAGCTTCTTCGAATGCTCCAAAGAAGGAGATAAAATAATAATCAAGTACAGAATTTTAGATTTACTACTTTAGCCTCTCATTCAATTGAGATTGAAGATGAAGAAAACCTTGCTGATTGTAATTGTTTGCAGGAAAGCACAGATAGTTATTGAATCACCAATCAAACCAGGAACACTAGTGCTGGTAAGTTCGCTTCGGAAATTATTTCTTCACACCCTTTCTCACCTCTTGCACACCCCTTTGTTTTTTAGCCACTGGATTGAACAAATCAAAGGCCAGAATTAAGGACGTGCAGAAGGTGAAAAACAGTGTGCAGAAATCACTCCCCTTTTGCTTACTATTATCATAATATATAGTGCTTTAGCCTCTATCATCATGATAAGAAAACAAGAACGGTAAATTGCGTATTATTGACCCTTTCATTATGTGTTTGTTCCTTTGGCACAATTCAGAGTATGTTAAAGACGGTGACTTCACTATTTGATGGTTTCCCAAAACTTGCTGAATGTACGTTAGCTTTCACCATATGTTTCAAAACCTCAGCATATCGTACATGTCACATATATTACATAACATAAGATATCTCTGATGCAGGGTTCCTAAAAAGTCCTCATATTGTTTTGCGATGGTTATGGAAGATATACGCATTACTTATCGCACCACTTCTAGAAAGCTACTTAAGGCTTTGGAACCTTGCAGCGCGTATACTTGGCCATGCATACTACATTTTGCTTTACATTGCAAAGTTTTTCTTCAACGAGGAATAACATTAGAAGGACAACTAAATCACCTGTCAGTCATCATTGCTATCACGACTTGACCACGTTTCTAGCAGCGAGAGAAGAAGCAATGGGCCGAAAACTGGTGGAAGTGGTGGAGGCCTGCTGAAGGCGACCATTGGTTCGGTTTTCTCTTTTGTAACAATTCCTCCTTCCCCATTATCGTTGTTCCCTAGTTTCTTTGGTGTTGAACTGACCAAAGTACCTAATTATAATCCACTACATTCGTCAGACCGAGAAGTTGTTATACCATACAATTCTAACTAGAAAAGCCTCAAATGAGAGAATATATATTACCCCATGACCCTTTCATAGGGTATAGTTGTTTGAATTTGATCTTTGCGGGTGATAACACAGCTATTCCACGCATGTAAGATCTCTTTTTGCTGATCGTTTCACAATGAAGTAGTTAATACTAGAAACTGACAATCCTGGAGCAAAGTGATAACATGGAAAAATGTGTTAGAAAAGCCTGTTTTCTTTCTCGATTTTCTTCCCAATTCTCCTACAAGGAGCGACACACTCCATGATCACTCAATGTGAGGGGGTTGGAAAAGAAATGGATTGTAGATAACATCATCATATCAACAATCATCATTCGCAATGCAGGGAAGCATATGAATAAAATGTTGGAGACGGTTCTCAGATTCCCTGAAATTAATACTTCATATTGGAAGCATATTTAAAAGCACGCCACTTGACAATGCATAGCAATCCCTTGTTCAATAAACCGAAACAAGAACAATGCTTCCATTAAATTCATTGGTAATTAATCAAATGGCTAGCAATTTTCGCAATCCTTTGTTCATTCACACTCCTCCCCTCGTTTTTACGCTTCTATTCTCCTTTTATGCATTCAACTATCAACGCGTAATAACGGAAGGGAGGGAGTGCAAACCGATAAAATCAGAGTGAAAATCGCTACCTGATTGCATTAACACAACATGTAAACACAAATATATATATATATAGCTTCAATTGCAACAAAGGAATAGATCTAATATTCCGACAGCCCCTAGTTCAGTTTTACTGCAATTTTTTTTTTTTTTTTGGCCTAATATTTTGACTGCAAAGTGTAACTAAAAGAAAGTGAACCTTGATTGTACGTACCCAGTTCAACGGGTTAATAACTGAACAATAAACACTAAAAGCATAATAAAATTAGACACGTCCCAGTGACTCGAAGAACTTACAGTTGAGTGAAAATTATGGAAAACTTCGGATTGATCGGTGAAAATATTAAAGTTTGTTTTTGTGATCAGTTAACCAAAGTAACCCAACAAACTGATACAGTAGACATACTAGTTAAGATTAGAGTTAGATCTCATACCTGCCTGCTGCGCTTGTCTTCCTGCAACAGCGACACAAACGCTGAGGATGTGGTTCAAGTTCCAGAAGATGTGGAGGGCCAAATGAAGCTTCCGGAGTTTTCAAGTTTCCAGTTGACACGTGTGGAAACGAATGTCACGTAATTACATTGATCGAAAATGACACGTTTTTATGCAAGTCTTTGCACTAGGCCTAGCAATTCCTGACACGATCCGATAATCCGACACGACACGACATGAAATTAACAGGTAACGGGTTGGTTCGGGTATAGGGTCAAAGAGTGTAGCTGTAAAAAATCATCAAAATCGGAGTTAAAATAACCGTTAAATCGTAATTTTTCATTTATAACTGTCGGAAAGTTTTGTCTCGTTACTTGATCTGTGAATGTTTTTTATTTTGTAATTTTTTGCTGATGCGATCTCGAAACATATACAAACAAGTTTGACGGTTAGATCGTTGAAATTAGTTTCGTATAATTCGTATCCCATGAAGTTCAATGGTGTGTGTGTGTATATATATATTTATTTATTTATTAAGTAGATTTAAATCTATTTATTTTGTATGTATAATTATTATAGTTTTTAGGGGTATAAAATTTAATATATATATATATATATAAATATAACTATTATAGTTAATATTTTGGGGGTATAATTATTATAGTATATATAATTATTATAATTATTATAGTTAATTTAATATATATATATATATATATATATATATATAAATATTATAGTTTTTAGGGGTATAAAATTGTTAAATTAATATATATAATTATTATAGTATTTTTTTAGGGTTATAAAATTATTAAATTAATATTCTGCTTATCGTGTATCGTGTTACCCACGTGTGTAGCTGTAAAAAATCATCAAAATCGGAGTTAAAATAACCGTTAAATCGTGATTTTTCGTTTATAACCGTCGGAAAGTTTTGTCTCGTTACTTGATCTGTGAATGTTTTTTATTTTGTAATTTTTTGCTGATGCGATCTCGAAACATATACAAACAAGTTTGACGGTTAGATCGTTGAAATTAGTTTCGTATAATTCGTATCCCATGAAGTTCAATGGTGTGTGTGTGTATATATATATTTATTTATTTATTAAGTAGATTTAAATCTATTTATTTTGTATGTATAATTATTATAGTTTTTAGGGGTATAAAATTTAATATATATATATATATATAAATATAACTATTATAGTTAATATTTTGGGGGTATAATTATTATAGTATATATAATTATTATAATTATTATAGTTAATTTAAATATATATATATATATATATATATATATAAATATTATAGTTTTTAGGGTATATAATATTTGTTAAATTAATAATATATAATTAATTAATTGTTAAATTAATATATATAATTATTATAGTATTTTTTTAGGGTTATAAAATTATTAAATTAATATTCTGCTTATCGTGTATCGTGTTACCCACGTGTATACCCGAACCAACCCGTTACTTGTTAATTTCGTGTCGTGTCGTGTCGGATTATCGGATCGTTTCAGGAATTGCCAGGCCTAGTGCAAAGACATGCATAAAAACGTGTCATTTTCGATCAATGTAATTACGTGACATTCGTTTCCACACGTGTCAACTGGAAACTTGAAAACTCCGGAAGCTTCATTTGGCCCTCCACATCTTCTGGAACTTGAACCACATCCTCAGCGTTTGTGTCGCTGTTGCAGGAAGACAAGCGCAGCAGGCAGGTATGAGATCTAACTCTAATCTTAACTAGTATGTCTACTGTATCAGTTTGTTGGGTTACTTTGGTTAACTGATCACAAAAACAAACTTTAATATTTTTCACCGATCAATCCGAAGTTTTCCATAATTTTCACTCAACTGTAAGTTCTTCGAGTCACTGGGACGTGTCTAATTTTATTATGCTTTTAGTGTTTATTGTTCAGTTATTAACCCGTTGAACTGGGTATGTACAATCAAGGTTCACTTTCTTTTAGTTACACTTTGCAGTCAAAATATTAGGCCAAAAAAAAAAAATTGCAGTAAAACTGAACTAGGGGCTGTCGGAATATTAGATCTATTCCTTTGTTGCAATTGAAGCTATATATATATATATATATATATTTGTGTTTACATGTTGTGTTAATGCAATCAGGTAGCGATTTTCACTCTGATTTTATCGGTTTGCACTCCCTCCCTTCTGTTATTACGCGTTGATAGTTGAATGCATAAAAGGAGAATGGAAGCGTAAAAACGAGGGGAGGAGTGTTACACTAGTGGATACCACAAAATCTTATGTTATACTTGATGAAAGTATGAATAAACTCTTAAGTGTTAGTGAATCTATTGTTTTGATGGGATACGCATTCTACGAAACTAGTTTCAACGATCCAACCGTCAAACATGTTTGTATATACTTCGAGATCGCATACGCCAAAAATTGCAAAAAACAAACATTCAGAGATCAAGTAACAGGACAAAACGTTTTGACGGTTATAAACGAAAAATCACAATTTAACGGTTATTTTAACTTCGATTTTGAAACTTTTTTACAGCTACACTCATTGACCATATATGAATACAATGAATGAATTCGATCTTCAATTTAAAATATTTACACTAGTGGATACCACAAAATCTTATGTTATACTTGGCGAAAATATGAATGAACTCTTTAGTATTAGTGAATCTATTGTTTTGATGAGTTACGCATTTTGTCAAATTAGTTTCAACGATCAAACCGTCAAACTTGTTTGTATATGCTTCGAGATTGCATATGCCAAAAATTGCAAAAAACAAACATTCAGAGATCAAGTAATCGGACAAAACTTTACGACGGTTATAAACGAAAAATCACGATTTAACGGTTATTTTAACTCTGATTTTGATGATTTTTTACAGCTACACTCCTTGACCCTATATAAATACAATGAATGAATTCGATCTTTAATTTAAAATATTTACACTAGTGGATACCACAAAATCTTATGTTATACTTGATGAAAGTATGAATAAACTCTTAAGTGTTAGTGAATCTATTGTTTTGATGGGATACGCATTCTACGAAACTAGTTTCAACGATTCAACCGTCAAACATGTTTGGATATACTTCGAGATTGCATATGCCAAAAATTGCAAAAAATAAACATTCAGAAATCAAGTAACGAGACAAAAAATTTCGACGGTTATAAACGAAAAACCACGATTTAACGGTTATTTTAACTTCGATTTTGATGATTTTTTACAGCTACACTCCTTGACCCTATATGAATACAATGAATGAATTCGATCTTCAATTTTAAATATTTACACTAGTGGATACCACAAAATCTTATGTTATACTAAATGAAAGTAAGAATAAACTTTTAAGTGTTAGTGAATCTATTGTTTTGATGGGATACGCATTCTACGAAACTAGTTTCAACGATCTAACCGTCATACTTGTTTGTATATGCTTTGAGATCGCATATGCCAAAAATTGCGAAAAACAAACATTTAAAGATTAAGTAATGAGACAAAACTTTTCGACGGTTATAAACGAAAAATCACAATTTAACGGTTATTTAAACTTCGATTTTGATGATTTTTTACAACTACACTCTTTGACCCTAAATGAATACAATGATTGAATTCGATCTTCAATTTAAAATATTTACACTAGTGGATACCACAAAATCTTATGTTATACTTAATGAAAGTACGAATA